CAGGACACTCTTTATGCAAGTCTGTCTGCTCAGTGTAAGGAGAAGGAGCAAGGAGTGGAGAGCCTGGCTGTAACGGGAGGCCAGTAGACGACGAGATGCTAAGAACCTGGCGAAACATGGAGTCAAGCGGTGGCAGAGACGACGGGGATGGCAGAGCGAAGAGCAGTCGCAGCTGTGCAGTACCACCAGCACCAGCACCTCCAGTACCACCAGCACCAGCACCTCGAGTACCAGCACCTCCAGTACGAGCACCAACTGCTCTAGTGGCTCTAGCAGCTCCAGAACCTCCAGCCCCAGCGCCTCCAGCTCCGGCACCTCCAGCTCCAGGGCCTCCAGCAGGAGCACCCCCAGAATCGGTACCTCCAGCTCTAGGGTCTCCTACTCCAGGGTCGACAGTACCAGCGCCAAGGCCTCCAGCTCCAGCGCTTCCAGCAGCAGCACCCCCAGAACCGGCACCTCCAGCTCTAGGGTCTCCTACTCCAGGGTTGACAACACCAGCTCTAGGGCCTCCAGGTCCAGTGCCTCCAGCAGCAGCACCCCCAGAACCGGCACCTCCAGCTCCAGGGTCTCCATCTCTAGCGCCTCCAGCTCTAGTGCCTCCAGCTCTGGCACCTCCAGCTCAAGCAGCGCGACTCGAAAGGGGGGTGCGCGAAGCAAGCCACTCGCGCAGCTGCTACGGCGAGAGAGGTGACCGCTGTAACGTAGCACCAGGAGGACCTCCAGCAGACTCAGCACCCCTAGGCTCAGCACCAATAGACTCAGTACCCTCTGGGCCAGCACCTCCAGCTCCAAGGTCTCGAACTCCAACGCGTGGGTCTCCAGTGCCTCCAGCACCACGGACCCCGGCAGCTCAAGTACCTCCGGTACGAGCACCTCCAGGACCCTCAGCGCCAGCAGTACCAACAGTTCTGGCCACTCCAGTACCTCCAGTACGAGCACCTCTAGACCCAGAAAGACTAGCACCCCCAGCGCCTCCACGACGACCAGCTCCAGCAGCTCCAACCGCACCACCTCGAGCAGCAGTATCTCCAGCCGCAGGACCTCCAGCTCCAGCAGCACGACTCCTCAGGCAGGCACGCCATGCAAGCCACTCTCGTAGCTGCTGTGGTGAGAGAGGCTCCCGTCGTGAAAAGAGACCCGGAGGAACGCCAGCAGACTCAGCACCCCCAGACGCGGCACCCTCCGGCTCAGCACCCCCACGCTCCGCACTCATAGGCTCAGCAACCCCAGGCTCCGCACCCCCCAGCACCTCACGCACAGGCTCAGTACCCCCAGACGCAGCACCCCGAGTAGCACCACCCGCAGCAGCACCTGAGTCGCTAGTGACCTCTACAGGCTCAGCCAGGGGGAGTGGGTCTACCTGAGACACACCTGAAGGAGCAGGACCTTGAGGGGGGAGGGGGTCTACCGGAGGGGGACCTGGAGCAAGGAAAAACAGCAGGGGAGGGAGGGGGGCAGTGCGGTAGGGGAAGAGATGGTAGAAAGGAACCGACTCGTCAAAGGTGACGTCCTGAGAGGACAGAACACTGCCCGAGGTGGGGTGGTAAAACTGCCAGCCAAGCGCGTCAGGGGGGAAGCCGAGGAAGACACAGGTAACGGTGCGGGAGGAGAGCTTGTCCGCGGACGTATTGCGGACAAGGGCGCGAGCACCCCAGACAAGGAACACCCACGCATCGCCAACCTCTCCCGTCCAACGCAGTGTTGGCGAGGTCTCCGGCAAGGAGACACGGGGCCAGAGGTTGAGCTGCTGCGCGGCGTACCGGACCGCAAACGACCACAGAAAATGGGGAGCCGCCGCATGGATCAAGGAGGTACGAGCGATCTCCATGACCAAGCCAATGCGGCGCTCAGCAACCCCATTTTGCTGCGGTGAGCCCCGAAGCGTGAACGACTGGAGGATGCCTCCCTCTAACATAAGGCCCGCAAGAGGTCGGAGGAGAACTCACCACCTCTGTCAGAGTGCAGACGTAGGACAGGGAGGTCCTGGTGGAACCGCTCGCGGAGCTGGAGACGAGCTTCTCGGATCCAGGGGATAAGGACATCAGGGACCTCACCCTTGGTGCACAAGGGGAAGACCGTGGTGTAACGCGAGTAGTCGTCGACAACCAGCAGAAAGTACCGCTCGCCGCCCTGACCACGAACGCGGGCTGGGCCCTACACATCCATGTGGAGGGTCTGCAGGGGAGCCTCTGTCGGGGGAAACTCGGAGGAGTGAGGAGCGACGCGTTGCTGCCCCTCGACGCAAGGAAGGCAGGGCGGCGCAGGCGAGGCATGGAGGGGAGGGGAGACCTGGGAAGACCAAACATAAGGAGGCGACGGTGCATGCCACGTAGACGTGGCAAGGAGGGATGACACAGGCGGTGGTGCCATAGAAGAGTCTGGTGCGACAGGGAGCGACACGAACAAGGGGAGGCTACCTGACGTGACGCAGACACCTGACCAGTAGCAGCTACCTGAGGGGACGCAGTAGTCAGTGTGTAAAGACTCGACCTTGGCCGACGGGTGAACGTGGCCAGTAACAGCCAGTCCGGGAGCACGTACAGGTCGCCACACGCTGTCCTCCAGGGGAAAAGGTATCAACCCATGCATCCTGGAGGACTGCGTTGCTCATCAGGTTCGTAGAGAACGAGGGGAGGTGAAGACCTGATAGTGAGCTAGACGGAACCACCGGGCACGGAAGCACAGTGGTGGACCGTGCAAGAACTGGGCCCCCTGAGGGGTCAGCCAGAGAGACACTGCCACAGGTGCAGGGATTGGCGTGAGTGCGGTACTGTCGCGAAAGAAACAGCAAGAAGCACCTGAGTCAAGCATGAAGTGTGCAAGCGCAGGCGCAGTACCAGAGAGAGCAGACTCTCTAGCACCCAAGGCACCTAGAGCAGCAACCTCTATACCGGGGTCGTGGTGCACACACAGGTAACAGTCACCCTCAGCACCACTAGGCAAAGCAGACATGGCAGTAAGGATGGCGTCATAGTCTAAAGCAAAGACATCAACGCCCGACCTAAGCAGCTCAAGCCAGTGGGGGAGCTCAGCCTCGTCGCCAAACTCTGCGTGCCAGGCGTCACTCAAATAGGAGAAGCAGCGGGAGTGTGCGTGACCAGCTGTCCCACAGGTCTGACCAGCCCTACGACTTGTGCGAATGACGTACGGGCAGCGAGCAGTACTCAGAGACGTCCCACGCTGGTAAAGCCACTCACGAAGCTGCCGTGGCGTAAGGGTCGGACGCCGCTGTAGCTGCATCTGGCCACCGCCAAAAACTCCGCAACGAACAGCGCCACAGTGGCTGCTACTACGGCCACCACCACTCCCACTGCTGCCACCACCGCCGTCACCACTCCCACCGCTACTACAAAGGGAAGTCATAGAGGGCAAGCTAGGAGGAGCATGACCTCTAGGGTAGTATGGAGTGAAGGCAGTAGCACGAGTAGCAGCAGCAGCAGTAAGAGCAGCAGAGCGGCTCGTGAGGCTAGGCTGCAGCACCTCCAATAACAGCAGCAGTAGCACAAGTAGCAAGGCGGATCGGGGTGGGCATGGCGGCTCGGGCTGGGCGGCGCGGCTCGGCCTGTGCGGCGCGGGCAGTAGGGTGCGTGTTGCGCAGGGGTGCAGGGCATGACGCGCGGGCTGCAGCAGGGCGTGACGCACGGGGCAGCAGAGCGCGACGCGCGGGCTGCAGCAGGGCGCAACGTGCAGGGCAGTAGGGCGCGACGCGCGGGCTGCAGCAGAGCGCGACGCACGGGGCAGCAGGGCGCGACGCTCGGGGCAGCAGTGCATGACGCGCGGGCTGCAGCAAGGCGCGACGCGCGGGGCAGCAGGGCGCGACGCGCGGGCTGCAGCAGGGCACGACGCGCGGGGCAGTAGGGCGCGACGCGCGGGCTGCAGCAGAGCGCGACGCGCGGGGCAGCAGGGCGCGACGCGCGGGCTGCAGCAGAGCGCGACGCGCGGGGCAGCAGGGCGCGACGCGCTGGCTGCAGCAGAGCGCGACGCGCGGGGCAGTAGGGCGCGATGTGCGGGCTGCAGCAGAGCGCGACGCAGGGGCAGTAGAGCGCGACGCGCGGGCTGCAGTAGAGCGCGACGCTCGGGGCAGCAGAGCGCAACGCGCGGGCTGCCATAGGGCGCGTCGCGCAGGGCAGGGCGTGCGCGGGGCAGCGCGACGCGGGGCAGGGCAGGGTGTGCGCGGGGCAGCGTGACGCGGGGTAGGGCAGGGCGTGCATGGGGCAGTGCGACGCGTGGTAGTGGGGTAATGCGGTAACCGCATTCGGTTGCTAAGTGTGGTGGGCCCGGAAAAAAGAACGGTCCTACGGACCTACTGCTCTTAAACCATGTCAAGATAGCAAGCAGGAATGACTGCATTGAATGAATTGTGGGTACAAGTGCTAACCCTAACATTGGGTTGTACCCCATATGGGCTACCCCACTATAGCCTACATAGGACTAGCACATATATAGTTTGACATTAACACCTCCCTACTTTTTTTTGTAATTCAGGCTTCGGGTTTGAAGTAGGCAATCAGGCCTTCTAGGCCAAGCTCATCATAGGTACCTCCCCCTGACAACTCCCCTGAGCTCTCCACTCCATCACCTTCCACATAATGTTTGCTCTGGCAGGCCTTTAATACCGTAGCTTAAACACAAATTCTTTCGGTCCTTTCGACCAACTCCAAGCAGAACTACGTTCTTGATCGACCCTCGGACTTTTCTTTCTTCCTTTCCCGTTGGTATTGTACTAGTGTACTAGTTCATCCACTGCCATACGGCTATGCTACACATGGATCTCTTCAGGCATGCATGCCTCCTCGATGCTCGACACATGGATGTGCAGCTGGCAGCTCCGTGCTTAGTGCAGTGAATCACCAGCATACATTCAGTACCTCTCCAGCAGCTTCTTGCCTTCAGCTGGGCCTGCATCTGCTCAGCTTCACTCCTTTTCAAACAAACTTTCATTTCAAAGAATTGAAGAAAATTGTTGGGCTACAGGTACTTGTTTCCCAAAGCCATCTGCCCTATTTGCTCTGCTGAGCATGCATCTGCTCGGGAGTCCACGCCTTCTTGATGCTCAGCGCATGGATGTGCGGCAGCTCGTCGCTGAGAGCACTGTTCACCATGCGGTGCCGCTCCAGCAGCCTCTTGCCCTCAAACAGCGGCGACACCACCGCCACGTCAAACGCCGTGCCACAGTGCCCTGCTGACGTGTCAATCACCACCTGCCAGGTCATGCGGGGCGGCCGCGGGTTGCGGGGGGGTGAGGGGAGGGGGGGTTGGGTGGGCCAAGGGGGAGAGAGAGGAGGAGAGGGAGGGAGGGAGAGGCGGAAGGGAAGGGGGGGCAAGGGGGATATGGGCATGAAAGGGAGCTGATGTGTGCCAACGGTGGGTTGGGTTTGGATGTGCACGAGGTGATCCGACAAGATGGTGGGAGAGATTTTGAGTCCGTCCAAAAGCCACGCAAGGACGAGAAGAAAGCCTGCCCCATACCTGCGCCCCGTCCCATACCTGCGCCCCGTCCCACGCCTGCGCCCCGTCCCACGCCTGCGCCCCGTCCCACGCCTGCGCCCCGTCCCATGCCTGCGCCCCATCCCACGCCTGCGCCCCGTCCCATGCCTGCGCCCCGTCCCATGCCTGCGCCCCATGCCTGTGCCCCATGCCTGTGCCCCATGCCTGTGCCCCATGCCTGTGCCCCATGCCTGTGCCCCTCCGCTAATCCAAGCCTTCGCCCCTCTGCCACCCCATACCTGGGCCCCTCTACCTGCCGCCGCCACCCAATGCCTTCGCCCCTCTCCCACCCAGTGCCTTCGCCCCTCTGCCACCCAATGCCTTCGCCCCTCTGCCACCCAATGCCTTCGCCCCTCTGCCACCCAATGCTTTCGCCCCTCTGCCACCCAATGCTTTCGCCCCTCTGCCACCCAATGTTTTCGCCCCTCTGCCACCCCATGCCTCCGCCCCTCTGCCACCCAATCATCGCCCTACCCCTCTTTCTGACCCTGGTTCAACCCCAATCATACTACCACCCCGCGTCAACACACCATCTCCGTGTTTCACCACCCATGCGTCTCACCACCGCACACCAACCCTGCGTCTCACCAGCTCCTGCGGCTGCAGCGCGGCTCTGAGCCGCTCCTCCACGCGCCCCTGCATGTCGCCCATCGCCGCGCCTCCCCTCTCCCCTCTCGCTCCTGGCCCTCGCCTCCCCGCGCGCACGCCTTGCCGCCCCTCTTCCGCTCCGCACGCACTCTAAAAGGGCAGGGGGCGTGCGCCGGGACCCGTTGACGGCAACTCCGCCTGCGCCTCAATGCCCGCGGGCCTCAAAGCGCAAGATCGAGTGCAGCGGGCTGCTGCCACGTGGAAGGCACGCACGTAGGTCGGGTTAGGGTTAGGGTTAGGTTTCGCGCAATAGAGTCGGCGAGGAGGCACTGCTGCTGGAGTTTCAGTCGCTCTGACGTGGGGCGACGGGAGGGGTGAAACAATGAGGAAGGGAAGATGAGAGGAGAGAGAAGGAAGCAGGAGATAGTGCGGAGATGGACAATGATCCGACAGAGGGGTGGGAGGATGAGCGGAGCGCTTATACAGAATGAACCAAGTCGACGGCTAAAGAACAAAAAGAGACCGACGAGACATGAAGCCATCATCGTGAGCAATGGTCCATCCCCAGTGGACTCACGGGACCTACCAAGACTTTTGCTGCTCTAATCCACACCACTTGTTTTGCCCACCAAGATCCGGTCACCACGTATGACTGCTGGAACCCCAGACTAATTCAGACTACCTCAGAAAAAGACTGGAGCTCGATTGACAACTTGAAGGCGGTCTCAGGAATGCAGCGTGATGGAATTTGGCCAGCTTTCTTGAAGAGTGTGGCCGCGCGTGCTGAATCACATGTGAAATGCAGTCAGCTTTGAGTTTACTAAATAATTATACACCTAGTCCACGGTATTTTAACCGCCACTATCTTAACCACGCGAGGGTACTTCTCCTTTATCAAACTTATTTAGTCGGGTTGTTTCAAACTTTACGAGGGTAGAATCTAGCATTCCCTTCGCAAGATGACGGCAGAAAAAACTCAGTGAATGCCGAGTGTGACAAATGTCACTCCGTCTATCTTGGAGCACTAAGTGTGAGTTCCTTAGACGGAAGTGCTTTTGGCTACAGAATCGTAGCCTCGATGACTCTGGGTGCTAAAAACATTACCCAAAAATGAACAAAGGGGGTTTGAAAGAACAAAGTTCACCTGGTTCAAATACCGCGGACTATGTGTATATGGTTCGTACAACAAAACAGTTGTTATGGGTGCAATGAATCGAGGTAGCGAGGATTGCACTAAGTGTCAAACGAGTACAAAACGTGAGCGAAGGCATCAGCGAACATTTATACGCGAAACATGCAAACGTTAACGCAGTGCGTGAGAGCTAGCTAGTGCTATGCTGGCAGCGAGGTTCAGGCTAGTCCCGAAGCGTAGGCCGACACGGCCGGGCCAGCGGTGCGAGGTTTGGCAAAACAGTGCGCGCGAAGTTGGCGAAGTCCCGTTAGCAGTAACGGGCGAACAACGGCTGTTGCTGTACGCGATGTAGTCGGGCTCCGTAAGGAAGGCCGAGAAAATTCCTTACACTACCCCCCCACTCAAGAAGCCCCCTCCGCTACGCGAGTGCGTGTATATCGCGGAAACCCCGGCTCATCAGGTACACTTGCAGGGCAAGGTGGTTTTCGATGTTGGCCAGGGGCACCCGGCTATCCTCAGTTGGCGTGCGGTCCTTCCAGCGAACGAGGAATTCAATCCTCCTGATTTCCGTGGGGTGTCGAATCTGATGGCTCATGATTTTTTCGGGCGCGTAGATCGGCTCCGATGCAGGGCGAGTCATGGATGGCAGGCGGTGATGGGGCAGTTGGCTTGTGGTTCGGATGTATGGGCGAAGCAGGCTGACGTGGAATGAGGGGTTGATGTACCAGTCTGTTGGCAACAGTAAATGTGTTGTCACTGGGGTAATCACGTGGCTGATTTGGAATGGTCCTCAGCAGCACGGTCGCAATTTCGGTACGACGTGTCAGAACATTATAGCTTATGCTTTTGTGTAGGCTGTAGTGGGGTAGCCCATATGGGGTACAACCCAATTAGGGTTAGTACTTGTACCCAACTGTTTCATAGTTCATTCATTCTCGTTCACAATTTCACATGGTATCGAGCAGGTTCCCCCGTGGGAACTGTGCCTAGGGCCCACCACATCGACCTTTTTTTTTTCCTGCCCGAAGCGCGCTCCGCCCGAGTCGCACTTCGTCGAGCCGCCCTAGCGGCCCCTTTCCCCTAGCGGCCCCGCCGCACGTCGCCTCGGCCCCGCCGCCCGTCGCTTCGGTCCCGCCGCCCGTCGTCGCGACCCCGCCGCCCTACCTCGCGGCCCCGCCGCCCTACCTCGCGGCCCCGCCGCCCTACCTTGCGGCCCCGCTGCCCTACCTCGCGGCCCCGCCGCCCTACCTCGCGGCCCCGTCGCCCTACCTCGCGGCCCCGCCGCCCTACCTCGCGGCCCCGTCGCCCTACCTCGCGGCCCCGCCGCCCTACCTCGCGGCCCCGCCGCCCTACCTCGCGGCCCCGTCGCCCTACCTCGCGGCCCCGCCGCCCTGCTCAGCGGCCTCGCCGCCCTTCTGCACCGGCCCCGCCGCCCTACTTCTGCGGAACCGCCGCCCTACTCCTGCGGCCCCGCCGCCCTACTCCTGCGGCCCCGCCGCCCTACTCCTGCGGCCCCGCCGCCCTACTCCTGCGGCCCCGCCGCCCTACTCCTACGGCCCTGCCGCCCTACACCGCCTGCGCCGCCCGAGCTGCCAGAACAGCCCGAGCCGCCCGAGCCGCTCGAGACACCTGAGCCGCCGGAGTCGCTTGAGCCGCCCGAGCCGCCTGAGCCACCCGAGCCGCCTGAGCCGCCTGATCAGCCGAGTCGCCGGTGCCGCGGAGCCGCAGTCGCTACTGAGCCGTCCGAGCAGCCGTGTTGCCGTGTTACTGCACCACTGAGCTGCCCGACTTGCCCTGTCTGGTGAGACCAGCGCTTCGGTCATTGCACTGCCCCTGTCCTACAGTTGGTCTCGCTAGTCTACTACTGTCATGGCTTCCCCTATTGTTCTCGCTTTTGACGCTGAGGGTCGAGCCATTGACTTTGAGGTTTGGGTAGATGACCTGCAGCTCTTCTTAAAGTGCGATAGGGCAGACGGTCTCTCCCTCTTTGACCTCACCTCTGGCGCCTCTCCTGCCCCTACTGCTGATGCTGACCCCACTGTTCGCTCCCAGTGGGCCACGCGCGATGCTGCTGCACGTCTTGCTGTGCGTCGCCACCTGCCTACCTCTAAGCGCGCCCACTTTAGTCAGAACAAGAGTGCTCACACCTTATACGACGCTGTAGTTGCGCGCTATTCTTCCCCTGCCACTGCTGCACTGAGCCGCCTCATACTACCGTACCTCTTTCCTGACCTTGCTGCCTTCGCGTAGTCAGGGACCACTTCCTCTCAGTCTGTCCCACCACTCTCACTGTTGACCTCCTAGAGAAGGCCCTCCTAGTAGCGGATAAGAGCATAGTCGCTGTAGGAGCCTCTCGTGGTGACCCTCGCACCCCCATCTTTGAGGGGTGTTCTCCTTCCCCCCTGTTGCCCTCTGTTGCCTCTCCTGCTGCGGCCGACCTCGTTGGTCTTGAATCGGTCGGTGCGGCGTCTGCCCCTAGCGCGAGACGCCGCTCTGGCAAGGGCAAGGGGGGCAAGGGCGCGGGTGGGGCTAGCGGGGGTGGTGGAGGTGGCGGTGGGGGCGGCGGGGGGAGTGGGGGTGGCGGTGGGAGTGGTGGCGGGGGTGGAGGTGGCGGTGGCAGCGGCGGAGGCGGAGGCGGCGGTGGCAGTAGCGGTGGGAGCGGAGGTGGCGGTGGCGGCGGAGGTGGAGGCGGCGGTGGTGAAGGAGGTGGAGCTGGTCGGGGTGGTACTTCTCAGCGGAGCGGCTCCGGGGGTGGTCAGCGCCAGCAGCAGCAGCAGCGTTCTTGGGACATCCCCCCTCCTCAGCAGCTCCGTGAGTGGTACACGCAGCGTCATCGTGGTGGGGGTTTTGGCCCGTGCACCTACGTACTCCGCTCCGACGACCGCGCGGGTGAGCAGTGTGGGGGTGCTCACCCCACCCAGCACTGCTTTGGCCGCCTGACGGACGCTTGGCGTCAGCAGTTCCCGAAGGCTAGTGAGATCCCCCGCTGGGGAGAGCTCTCTAGGGCAGGCGTAGCTATCTTTGATCTTGACTTTGATGCTATCCTTGCTGCCATGTATGCTGTGACTATTAGTGATGAGGGTGACTGTTACCGGTGTTTCCCGCCCGACCCGGGCATTGGTACTGCTGCTCTAGGTACTGGTGAGGCTGCTGCTCTAGGTGCCAGTGCGTCCGCGCCCTCAGGTGTTGGTGAGTCTGCGCTCTTAGGTACCACGTCGGCTTCGGCCTCCCTCACCTTCACACTTGACTCAGGGGCTTCTCGCTCCTTCTTTCGAGACCGCACCACACTCACGCCGCTTGGTCGGCCAGTTGCAGTCTCCCTGGCAGACCCCTCTGGGGGTCCTGTCCTCTCTCACTTCTCCACTGTCCTCCCGTGTCCGGCTGCCCCCTCTGGCACCTTGTCTGATCTTTACCTCCCCTCGTTCTCTACAAACTTGGTGAGTGGTGCTGACCTGCAGGATACGGGGGTTCACTAGTTCACTCTTGCGAGTCAGCGGGTGACCCACTCCAAAGACGCTCGGACAGGCCGACACCTGGCCACGTTTACACGTCGGCCGGGGTCGAGCCTGTACACACTGACCACTGAGTCTCCTCCAGTCACTACGTCTGGTCAGGTAGCTGCGTCGAGTCAGGTGTTTGCTGCAGCGTCCAGGTCTGGTCCTGAGTCTGCCCCCTGCTCGTGTCGCCTCCTGTCTCACCAAACTCTCCTCTGGCACCACCGTCTTGGTCACCCCTCCCTGCCTCGT